CCCCAAAACCCCAAAACCCCAAAACCCCATAAGGTAACATTTATATAATATCACAATAAAGCTCAAGGTAAGAATATGAAACATTTTCGTTCGAGTCTTCAACAGAGCATCTAGATTTATTGGATATCTAAGGGAGAGACCAAGATACCACAAGAGTTTATCTAGCTAATTTCCTGGTCAATCTCCTGCTGTTAGAAGTATGGCATGAGCTGGGTGTGAGCTTTTCTTCACAAAAATTATTGCTTATTGTTCAAAGTTAGAAGTAGCGGCATCTTTTATTTCATGAATATGCTACAGTATAGCTAAAACAGCTCTTAGAGGTTAGAAAATAAGGCATTCTAGGGATTCTCTGAGTTGCTTATCTCCCAACCCAATCATTTCTCTTCATATCCCTAAAAATACTACTCGAGAGGATAAATAGATTAATATGCTGCTTCAGAGATTAAGTTCTGGAACAAAAGATTTTCATAAGAAGTCTCAAACAAACCCACTAAATTTTAGTGACAGACTCGGTAAGATTTTTGAATAAACCCCTGAGTACTGTTTCACTATAAGTAAACCATGTCAGGCGAAGATCTTTCTATTTTATAGCCAAATCTCTCCATTAACTTGCTTAGTTTTAACTTAATTTGTTATAAAATAGACATAAGATATTAGTGAAGACCTTCTTATCACTGCTACGTATTAAACATGGATTAATCAAAATCGCTGGAGAAGGTTCAAAGTAGGGTGTTTCCCATCCATTAACACCGCAGTGGTATATTGTCATTCCATTAAAATTCATGCTTGCCTGAATTTTTTAATAAAATTTTAAAATGTTGACAAGCTTCCTATATTAAGAGGTACTGTCACTCTCCAAACTCTTTGAACCTTGCTGGAATAATTTATCCTCTGTCATATTTTTGAGAATTGAAATTCTACAAGTTCCTAGCTAAAGTTTTTAATCCTCTGATTATCTGAAAAATACGCTAAAGTTAATAACTTACTATTGGTTCAGAGGTACTAGGGTTAGTCCATCAACTATATACCTTCATGAGGATAAATTATGAAGAGGATTAGCTTCATGCTTAGTTCATGCCAAAAAATGAGACTCTACCACTTTGCATCTCATTAGGCATTTTCAACGTATGATAGAACTAAACATTATGATATTTTAATGATTATCCTGAATGTAGAATGCAGAATTACCAGGGGAAGAAACAACACATATATGGAATCAGGAGAGAAGCCCAGATAATCCAGAATGTAATTTCTAACCCTTTAAATTTTTATCGATTAAATTTCATAGTACTTTGCAATCATATAGGAATGTCTAACTGATATAGGCTACTTCGTACCTCTCTAGAAAGAGAAAGAAAAAGGGAAGATGGACTCATGAAGAACACTCTCAGTTTATCGAATGTATACTCATTCTAACATCTAGGCTTGAAGAAGTACGGCAAAAATTGGGACAAACTTGATGAGATGGTAAGAGTTCTGCTTAGCATTTAGGTCCCAACCCGAGATAGCCTCCAGATCAGGTCTCATGCTCAGAAATATTTCAAAAGAATCAAGAATGATTTCAATACAAATGATCCTGTAGATTACATTCGCAAAGGGATGTGTGACGAGTCTCCATTCTACAAGTTTGATAAATCTAAGTTCAATAAGGTCTCAAACAAGCTCATAGAGCCTGAGAGAAAGCTCATAGAGCCTGAGAGAAAGCTCATTGAGCCTGCAAGAAAGCTCATTGAGCCTGCAAGAAAGCTCATGGAGCATGTGAGAAAGAAATATGAGCCTCTGAATAAGCCTAATCCCAAGAAGCAGATCACTTTCAATGAGGAAATACCCTCAGCTCGAAAGCATCACAAACAAGAGTCTCAAGTCATTTACAAAAAGAGACTACTCAAACAGAAGAGAAAGTATGTTGAAGACTCAAGCTCTTCAGATTTCTTCAAATCTAAGGCCAAGAAAAGCTATGAGAAGGCAGAGTACCGCCAAGTGAGTTTAACCAGGCTGAGAGAACATGCCAGAAGAGCACACAGGAAGCTGAAAAGAAGAGAATCTCATTTCAGTATTGTTCAACCAGATTCTGAAAAAGTCTACATTATCAAGAAAGCATTTGAAATAAACAATTGCAGTACTAAAAGAAGCATGCCAAGAGATTTGTCGCAATGTACAACCAGAGTTCATCTGCAAGGAGAGAAAACTAAGCTTGAGAAAAAGAGTCGCAAGGCTAATGATCCATACAAAATGGCTACATCGAGAAAGAATATCCCTAATATAGTCCACGGTCCTTCTGAGAGAATTACTACTGAGAATATGATTACTGAAACTACTAAAGAAGCTATTCCTCATATGCATGAAACCAAAGTGAAGTTTCCATATATTACTACATCAAATTTGCAGCTCTCGTTACCTTTGGTAGAGTCCCAAACTTATAATTTCAACCAGAGAAGATTTGTTCAGGAAATCGGGCAGGCTCTCCCTCAGAAAGACCATATCTGCCAAGTGAGACCAGAAACTACCCCTCAGTTCTTCACCCCTGTCGGACAGGTGCAACATTCGAATATGTATATGGAGGAAGATTTCCAGTTTGAGCTCTTAATGCAGTGCATAATGATGAATTACTGTCTCTGTCTTACATAACCCAGTGAAGACATAGCAGCTTGTACGGATCAAAGCTGTAGTAGATAGAGATATAAATAACTCATGTTTCTAAAATATCACCAATATATATTATCTCAATACCGTGGAGGCATCCCGGGGTTTTGGGGTTTTGGGGTTTTGGGGTTTTGGGGTTTTGGGG